GGGGGGGGGGGGGGGGGTCAAACTTTTTTATTTAGATCAAGGGAGCTTCAGACTAAAAGAGTTTGGAAACCACTGTTCTAGAAGATGTATTAACTAATGCTAAGGATCTCCTACACGAGAAATGTGTTTCAATTTCAACTGTTATTTCTTTTACAACAGCTTTAAAAAGATAGTTCCCAACAGCCATTTTGTATGTACAAACTATCAGAGACGGGGACCTTTGCTTTTCATGGTTAGTGTTTTGTGTTTTTAAACAGTAGAAATAGTGAATATTTTCTAAAACAAATATAACACGCCCTCTATAACATAACCTCCTAAAGAGTAAAATATTAGGTTAGTTATAATCAAAAATAGTACTCTGGAGATTGAGGTCGTGTTATATTTATTCTAGAAAGTATGTCTAATAATAAAATCCAGGTATCATTCAAAGATTTAAGAATGCGAGAAATCGTGAATTTTTATTGTATTCTTTTTTGTTTTTAAACTCGGAGGTGGAACAAAATATCAGAAGATTTGCCTCGTTTAGGGTTATTTATTAAAAGTGGAAGTTATGAAAAAGCATATACAGGTTGTTAGAATAATTTACCAAAGTAACAGAATTCTATTTCTGATGTCTACCTGTCATTTAACGTGCCACTAATTCAACAAGTACACCGCACGTTATTTATATTCATATTTCAAAATATGTACAAATGAACCGACCAGCTGTTGATTTTATACATTTTTTGTTCTAATGTCATCTTTCCTTACTGATAATTATCAGAAACAGAAAAAAAAAAAGGTAAAATTTCCGGGACAGTTCTTAATTATAAACGTCATTTCAGTGCATAAGGTGATTTTTTTTATTATTATTCTGAGTATAAACTGAATGGATGTCATATTTCCAAGTTTTTTTATAGAAGGCCTAAAGAGTATGGTGGTTAGGGCGCTCGACTCTCAATCTGCGAGTCGCAGGTTCGAATCCCTGTCACCAAACATACTCGCCATTTCTACAATGAGGGCGTTATATGTGATGGTCAATCTCACTAGCTCAAGAGTTGGCGGTGGGTGGTTTTGACTGGTTGCCTTCCCTTAGTCTATCACTGCTAAATTAGGAACGACTCACGCAGATAACCCTCGAGTATTCTTGCGTGAAATTCAAACCAAACAAACCGAAAACGTAAATGGATTTTTTCTTCTCATTTGCGTTAAATGTGTTGTAATTAATAGACTGGCTTCAAGGTTTTCTAACCATATGTCCGAAATATCATGGCTAAGCCTACATTTCTAGGTTTGCAGTTGAAATTTCAGCAAGTTGTATAATTTTAAAAATAAATGAATATTGTTTGTTTGAATTTCGCTCAGGGCTACCTGCGCTAGCCGTCCCTTACTTAGAATTAGTAGAATAGAGGGAAGGCAGCTATTCAACACCACCCACCGCCAACTTTTTGGCTAACTATTTTAATAACAAAAAGTAAGATTGACTATCGCATTATAACGGTCCCATTATAGAAAGGGCGAGCATGTTCGGTGGCGGGATTCGAACTTGTGACCTGCATATTGGTAGTCGAGCGCCCTAACCACTAGGCCATGCTAGACCGACTATTTATAATTAACTGCCAAAATATGAAAAAAAGGGTATTTTAAAAAGAAGAATTTATAAATCAAATTAAAACAAAAATGGTACTTTTGGTAGTACGTATCAGTCCGAATAATGTTGCCAATTAACCAAACCAACAAACTGAGGAAAAAAATGCATTATGAATACAACTTATTTAGGTTACAGTTAACGAGTTGTTTGTTTGTTTTACCTATATTATTTGTTCATGTTCATTTATGCTTCTACTATTTTCAGATGTTTTTTTTTTAGTCTTCATAATTAAGGAAATTCCATATCAACACATCACTCTCCCTCTACCACAAGTCTTTCTTCACTGTGGTTTACCAGTTCTTCATCCTTTTAACCAACTGAAAAACGCAAAGAAAACTTTTCTCGACACCGAGACACGAGGTCCCCGACCAGTTCTAAAATCTCTTTCTCATTACACGTGTACTTGAAAGATTTATTCCTTTCCTTCCATCATCAATTCCAATACATAGAACTCATCCAGGTATTTATTACGTTGTCGTGTTAGATTGTAATGGGATTAATTATTAGTTTGATTTGAGAGAAAAATCAATATTAATGTGGCTTGAAATATTTTTGTAACATAAATTGAAAATTCAGTTTATTGAAGTTTTACGTTTCTATTTTCACAGAGATGTATAGAGATTTATTTCTACTCTCGCTTCATTACAGGACTGACATTTTATAAATTAAGCATTGAAAGACTAACACGTTTTACTTTATTCGAAACGATTATGAATGATGATCTTCAAGAGATGAGCAAAATTTCAGGAAGTCATAGTGACAGATGCCCATAATCTAGGTTACTGAGAAGTTAAAGCCAACAAATCCACCCAGTCAAGTTAAGCGAATGACGACATTATATGAATGACGAATAATTAATACACGATTTTTTTTTTATTTAATACATCAATCTTTTTATGATAACACGGGCCTGAGATGGTTTAATTATCTTGAAATGTTTACATGTTCTACAGTAATTCCTGTACGCTGAATCCGAAAATGATATCCATTTTTCTCCATCACGTACAGATTTTTCACAAAACGCCATATGTACTTCTACATAAGTGAATCATTTTCATTGAAATCGGGTCACTGGCTATAGATTTCTCTAGACCAATCGCGACGTGAAAGTCTTACCGATCGTTCTAGGACCCAAAAACAAAATTATTAAAAAATGTTCATTGTGTTAAACAAAATAATAATTTGATCTAAGTAAGATTTTTTTATTCTTCCCGATTTGTAAAAATCCCTACATGGTAGAAAAAATTAATATTATTTTCGAAATCTGTGTAGCTGAATTATGTAAAATCCGTTATTAGAACCAAAACAACTTTTATGAAGTTTAAATTTGCAGGCCTGTGTAATCGATTACCGATTCCTGACCGTTTCCTGGCTTTTTCAGTCATACCGTGTAAAAAATGCTCCAGGATGTAACCAAGAGCCATGTTTGGAGTACCTTCGATCACGTGACTTAAATGTTAAACTCAAAATTAACAATAACTAGGTGTGGCTGTTGAAACTGAAATACCTAAGTTAAAGCTACTATAAGTTTGTTTGTTTGTAATTAAGCACAAAGCTACACAATGGTCCATCTGTGCTCTGCCCACCACGGGTATCGAAACCCGGATTCTAGCGTTGTAAGTCCGCAGACATACCGCTGTGCCACTGGGGGGCGCTACTATAAGTATTAGTATTTTTGAAATAAAATGAGTACCCAAACAAATGTATTCACTAAATCAAATCAACAATACTGATTTGCTATAATAACAAAAAAATAGTAGCAATATTACCTAAAATATAGTGTTTAAAACGCGTAACTTTCGAGAAGGATAAAGTATAATAAAATTTAGACCATTGTCTAGCTTACGTCAAGAGCATATGTATTGCTGCCAAAAGGTTATTTACGTTAGAGACAGTAAAGAATATGAAAGTCACTGGTTATTTCTAGTTTTCGTAACAAAAAATGTATTTAAGTATTTGAAACATTATTAAAGCACAACCATTTGATGGAAAAAGAGTAAAAAATGTAGTATTTACGAAGTTCATCGGTTTTATTTCTCTGCATGTAAATACAAAAGACGAATCACCAAATCCCATCAAATCGATATGCATTCCTATTATTTATTACATCAGAGAATAGTTTTGGTGAATCTGAACGGAAAAGTCAGTGAATGTTCCGATTGTCGTGTATGGTGTTACTTCTGCCATCTATTGGTTAGTCATGCAAATACTATTATAAGTCTTAATTTTGTGTATATGTGTGCAACGATGTGTCTCCTTTCAAAAGTTGGATTTGTTTGTAATTTAAGAAAGAAATTTTAAGTATTTAGAGTTTAAACTCTATATTGTACCCCCAAAACGACAGCATCATGAAATAAGTAGGAATCACAGTCTTACCAAAAGTAAATATAAAACATTGATATAATTATATCGATCTTGTAATAGATTAAAAAATAAAGAGGAGTATAATAATATGTCGTAAGCTCCCTTGATGTTTTGGGTATTTGAACAGGAACATGTTTCTTATATCTCCAACCATCTATCATAAAATTAACAGGAACATTTTTCTGTTTCTTATAGCTTCAACCATCTACCATAAAATTAACAACAACATGTTTCTGTCTCTTACAGCTTCAATCATCTACCATAAAATTAACAACAACATGTTTCTGTCTCTTACAGCTTCAATCATCTATCATAAAAATTAATAGGAACGTGTTTCTATTTCTTATAGCTTCAACCATCTATCATAAAAATTAACAGGAACGTGTTTCTATTTCTTATAGCTTCAACCATCTATCATAAAAATTAACAGGAACGTGTTTCTGTTTCTTATAGCTTCAACCATCTACCATAAAATTTAACAGGAACGTGTTTCTATTTCTTATAGCTTCAATCATCTACCATAAAATTAATAGGAACATATTTCTGTTTCTTGTAGCTTCAACCATCTATCATACAACTTAACAGGAACGTGTTTCTATTTCTTATAGCTTCAACCATCTACCATAAAATTAACAGCAACGTGTTTATGTTTCTTATAGCTTCAACCATCTACCATAAGTTTTCAGTTCGGGTGATGCTGTAGCTTCATCTTGCTGAAAGATAAAAACACAATTGAAAAGAAAACCTTACCTAACGGAAGATTTAAGAAGTATAAGAAAGAAGACCAGCTAAGCAACATACAGCTGAAAAGAACAGTCTTCCTTGCATCTTTTCTAAATATATAAATATATTAGTAATCCTAATTCTTGTCACTTTTTCACTACATTTTTAATCACTGGTATGATGCTAAACTAAATTAACAAATATCCTATTAATGATTTAAAATAATTGTTAGCTATGAGAATGGTTGATTATCATAATGTTTATTTTAGCAAAAATAACCGAAATAAAATCCATATATCGTTTATATATTTATAGCAAAAGATCCCACGAAATTAACATACAATTAACCTCAAGCCAAGCTTGTTTGTTTGCTCGTTTTTCTAGGTTATTGTCAAACTTTAAACTAGTAAGTTTCAAGTTGTTGGTTAGACTTGACATATCTTCTAAAGTGTGAAATGCCTGTATGATACAGAATCACAACATGTTGGTTAGACTTGACATATCTCCCAAAGTGTCAAATGCCTGTATGATACAGAATCACAACATGTTGGTTAGAGTTGACATATCTCCCAAAGTATGAAATGCCTGTGTGACACAGAATCACAACATGTTGGTTAGATTTGACATATCTCCTAAAGTGTGAAATGCCTGTATGATACAGAATCACGTGTTGGTTAGACTTGAAATATCTCCCAAAGTATGAAATGCCTGTGTGACACAGAATCACAACATAAAGGTAGGGAATGAATTTCAAGAACGGGTTTGGTAAACTTTAGAACCGATTCGTGTATTTAATATAAGATGTTGATTAGAAAGAGAGCGTGCACCAGTCTTTGATGGGTTTTAGAAAAGTACTTATGCTTTGTTTTCATAATTTCAAACTCACTCAGTTGTACCTGTAACAGTGCAAATTATGTGTCGTTGTACCATCGTATTTCATTGGCTAAACCTTAGGCGTATTTTCATAATACGTTCATGGTGAACGTTTCATAGGAAAAGATAAATATTATGTTTTAATAAATGTTTTTCAAACTTATCGTGATCTTGAAATATGTAAGTGGCTAAATGGCTACATATTTCTTGCTGATGTTTATTTGTTTATTTCAGAGCATTAGTTCAAATGGCAGCAGATGGCGCCACATGAATATATATTTTTTTATTATTTTGTTTTAATACAAAGTGCAAAGCCACATTGGACTATCTGCTGTGTTTACCGTTGGGAATCGAACCCCGGATTTCAGCGTTGTAAGTCCGTAAACTTACCGCTGTCCCACCGGGGGACTTTGCAGTGTCTACCCAACCATTTTCGCGCCTTCTCCGTTTAAAGATATGTTTTTAGCCATTCCCTGAAACCGACTGATAAAGACAAATATGTTTACTGTCTTTGGTTGGAAGTTGGATTTGTAGTTGAGATCAGTTCCTTTCGTTACACTGTCGGCGCTAATCTATAAGCATGCTGTATTTAAATTTGGTTAAACGTCTTATCTTTGTGTTTATTTAGTTATGGGAAGAAGGTCCGGTTATTTATCAAATACGAACCATAACATAAATGAATCGTGTTCAAGGTTTGTTGTCAGAGGCGGTAACTTCGGTGTAAATATATTGTATTTCATTATGTAATATCTCGATATTCCATTGACTTCTCTGGATGCGTTATATCCTATTCCAGATTCGAAGGTTTATCCCAGAATAACTAGTCTTTTCGCACCTTTTTTTTTTTCATTGGTAATTTACAGTGAGGACCAAAATAGAATATTGTTTTAAAATAAATCGCATATTTATGTATAGATCGTTTTGATGTTGTTGTTGTTTGTTTTTTCTATAGAATAGGGTTAATATTAGGTTCTGGCGTTATGAAAATTATTTTGTACTGACTTTAGTTGCAGATTGGCACTCGTATGCCTTTACCAAAGCATTTAACTATAATTAATTCCAATCTGGAAGAGGATATTTTCGCTTGTCATTTTCTATTTTGACCACTAGGTGGAAGCTGAAATGTAAGTAGACATAGTTTGTCTGAATATATATAATATTTTTAATTAAAAGGTGAGCGATTTTTTTTTTTTTCGCCACCAGCTGGCATCGCATGTAAGACTAAAATAATCGTTATTAACTTATTTCTTATTTTATGGTGACAGAAAATATTAAGATTTATTTGTTTATAGATTCTATTTTCTCTATTTAACGATTTACAATAAAAAATAAATATGGTATTAGCTCTACAGAAATGTATATCAAGAAAAACGTCCAGTTATATTCTGAGTTGAGGGTTTTAGATATTTATTCATTAGTTTTTATCTACGCTTTCTGCAACCATGAGTGACAGAATGCCTTTATAATACGTCATCATGTAATGTAAATATTTCATTTAGTTTTACTTCATGCTGTTAATAACAGATGAACAGTATAAACACCAATATATATGTGTGTGTAATATGTCAGAAATAAAGCAATTTCTTTTAATATGGATGGTATCTGTAGAATAAAACGAAATTCAATTAAAACCATATGACACTTTCACTCATTCTTCAAAACATATCCTCCCCATACAGCCAGAACTTGGTGTGAACCAAAATATTTTTACATCACAGAAAAGTAGACATTTGGATGATGATAAACTTCAAAGAAAGGCTCCTACTACCGTAATGATCCGTTTTGTTGCATTTTTGTAAATTTCTTAATTTTTGTTTAAAGACAGCCGGCGAGTCCTTTACAGTTGTCGATATATCGTAGTTTGCAAGCACTTAAATGCAGTGAAGTAAAACTCTGTTTTATAGAGCTGACACAGTTTTTTCTGCTTTGACTCCTACAAGTCTTGTACGTTGATTAAGACCTATAGCACTTTTCGTAAAATACATTCCATATAGTAAAGTTAAATTTTTTATGTCATTTGATGTTCAAGTTATACCATCTCAAACAGAAACTAAATCACTAAAAGTCAGAACAACCAGCTATATTTTTTATGTCATTTGATGTTTTTTAGTGATTTAGTTTCTGTTTGAGATGGTATAACTTGGTCAGAACAACCAGCTATATTTTTCATACCTAAATCATGTGTGATTTGAAACATAGCTACTCAAAGACTGATTATTTTGGATTTTATTAAGAGTTATATATAGGAGCTCATTACTTCATAATACGAGTCTAAAAAAAAAAGTCAGATTCCATTATGAATCAGTGTCTTATGATTAGAACATTACAACCAAAAATATAATTACGTGTTAACAGCATATGTAAAATGAATGTCAAAAAATTATGTATTTCTTTTTATAGAAATCTAGCATTGTACTCTATATTTTTGTCTCGGTATTTTAATTGTATAAGGTTCTGTGAAACTTTAGGTGATGTCCTTATACTATGTAGTCTTACAATCTTGCTGATTGAATGGGTTTCTAGAATGACTAATTGTAACATCCAACCAGTTGTTAACATCACGATTTGTACTTAACATTTGATGTGTGTTACATTATTAAATATCGTGTATAGTGTATTTATTAATTCTACTGATTCATATAGTGCATACACAGTTAGGCTAAAACTAACACCATTTTACCACAGATAAGTTTATTCTATGTAATATATATAAGCTCTTTTTTTGTTGTTGTTGTTTTTTTTTTTGCGATTGAAGTGTAAGGTTTGTTTGTTTGAAGTTAAGCACAAAGCTACACCATGGGCTATCTGTGCTCTGCCCACCACGAGTATCGAAACCCGGTTCCTAGCGTTGTAAGTCCGCAGACATATCGCTGTGCTACTGGGGGGCGAAGTGTAAGGTGCTTCTAATAAAAGTTATTTTCTCATATCTCTCGTTATTGGTTTTGGTTTCTTTTTGTTTCTTCTGTTTTTAAATATACCTGTCTCTAAATTCCCTAAACAAAGTGTTTTAGGAACCGCTTTAATTATATTTCTGTAGACTGAGAGTAAATAGATGCGAAAGAATAATTTACTTAAATTATATATCTTTACGATTGTGTTCATTTTGATAAATTGATTTGTAATGGATATTTTAAATATGTAATTGAAAAATAACTTAATGCAAAATATTTCGACGTGTTTTTGTAGTTCTTTTCCTTTGATATCATGTGACTTTTAATACAATTTTTTGACCCTTTGTTGTTGTGTTAGTCAAAAGTCCCAAGTGTTGAGAAGTAAAAATGACCCGAATTCTGTAATCACCCAATAACTTTAATTCGTTATAACATATTTTATAGCTATTACATTCATAGGTACAGGGTGATCCAACGAGAAATACCCCACTGATTTCATATGGGAAGAATATAATACACTGACGACACAAACGTGCATTATTGAAATAGAACACTTGACTTGTAATAATGTTAGTTAGAACATATACGTTTTAACAATATCAGTTAGAACAACTAACTTGCAACAATGTCAGTTAGGACACCTAACTTGCGACAATGTCAGTTCGAACAACTAACCTGCAATGATGTCAGTTAGAACTCCTAGCTTGCAATAATGTTAGTTAAAGCACCTAGCTTTTAACAATGTCAGTTAAAGCACCTAGTTTTTAACAGTGCCAGTTAGAACAACTAACTTGCGACAATGTCAGTTAGAACAACTAACTTGCAACAATGTCAGTTAGAACACCTAGCTTGCAACAGTGTTAGTTATAATAGTTTATGATATTCTTCCCATTAGAAATCAGTGTCATATCTCTGGTTGGGTCACCCTGTAGAACAATAACCTGACTTATTATTGTATCAAAGTAATGATGTTGGGGTAAGATGTTTTCATTTATAGAAACTGTGTCTCGGTGTTAAACGAAGAAATAAGTTCACTGACTTGGTTTAAAGTAAAATTTCGAACATAAGTGATAAATGTACTCTTTGTTGTGTCGTGGACAATCTAATGTGGGACTAATTTCTCTTATCGTCTCTGTGTAAGACTTCAATCGATAATTACAGATTTGAAATTAATAACACAATACAGTTGGTTTGTTACGTAATGTATTTTGGTAAAGAAAGTTAAAAGTACTCTGTTTCATATATGAACGTTCGATTCATCAGACCTTACCTGTCAAGCACGTGTGAGATTTGGTGCCTATGCAAGACAGATGGAGCATCTAATAGCTTCATATTTCGTGAAAATTATTTTTCTGTGATATAATACACTATTTTATCTAAAGAAACTGTATTGCAGGAGGGTCTCTATATCTAAATGTATCTGTAGTCCGGTGCATTCTTGACATAACCATTGTGAAAAAGTTGAATAAAGTGGTTTAATGGAATAAATAATGGTCTTTTTCTTTATGTTAATTCGTTTAAGTGTTATATAGATTATACAAAATTCTTTAACTTAACTTTTTAACATTATTTCTGATCTTGTTAAGCAAACTATTGGTTCATAACATAGCCTATTTCTTAATGCGATCAGGCTAAAATGTGTTGTTAAGTTCTTTTTTTTTCTTTGAAGGGCAAAAACATCCAGATGTAGGAAATATGGCATGTCAAAATTGTTTAGAATTATTTTAACCACTAAATTAGTGTTTTATCTTTTAAAATAACAAACTCGGTGGTTTCAGGATTTACAAGAGTAGAATTTCGGGTTCAACCCCCGCAGCGTACAGAGCATAAATAGTCCATTGTGCAACTTTGCGCTAAAACAATCAACTTATTCTTAACATAATCAAGCTTATGCAACCCAATCGAGATAATATATTGAGATTTTCTTTCTATGCAATTCACGATCAGTTGTAGCTTTCTTGCGTCAATTTTTTTCTTGTTTGAATCGTCGTTTTTACCGAAAGAATATATCCTTTCCTCTTGCTAAATCGTGATTTTACGAAAGAATTTATCATTTTCTTTTGTTTGAATCGTGGTCTTTACCGATAGAATATATCATTCCTCTTGTTTGAATCGTGATTTTTACCCACAGAATATATCATTCCTCTTGTTTGAATCGTGGTTTTACCGATAGAATATATCATTCCTCTTGTCTGAATCGTGGTCTGATATATTCTATCGGTAAACAAACAAGAGGAAATGATATATTCTATCGGTAAAACCACGATTCAAACAAGAGGAAAAATTGTTTTACCAAAATAATTTATCATTTTTGTGAAAAACAATTTTCTTCTCCAGAAAAATAATTTTAATTGACATCATTAAATTCTTACAAAGCCTTACCTCAGAGCAATGTCGTTGCTCATCGATTTTCTTATCTTGTTTCATACTTTTTTATTTCATTGGAACTTTCTGTTTTCACACAAACTCTTTTTGATCATTAAAGTTCTGAACACTGTTAGTTTCATCTTTTATTTCATCAAATTAAACTTTCCTCCAATGACATCCCTTGAGCGATGCATCAACAGAATTCGTTCCAATGACAAACTAGCGATAATACAAACGCTTATAATTAGTTTATAAACATAAACGACAAAACAATAAAAAAAATACATTCGGAAGGAAGAGCAGTTCGTAAATGAGTAAAAACTGTCTGACAATGAATAAAAATACAAATTAAATTGTTTTCTGTGTACTACAAAATCGTAAGTCATACAAATACTAAGAATGTTTCGGATTCTAACCAGTATACTCATTATACAGATGCACAAAAAAAAACTATCTGTTTATAGAAGTTGCTAAGGAACTATTCGTAGTGTATTTTAATTTCGGCTGGCAAAGTCAGCAGCCACAACATCTTAGTTATTATGCACGTGCCCCTCACCCCTAACTACGCCTATGAGAAAAAGCTTTATTTTAATTTTCTTTCCCTTTTTTATGATCTGGTATAGAGATATTTCTTCATTTGCGCCTTAATTTCTTCAACATAGCCCTACTTTAAGTAACGTTACATCTTGTACTCAAGATGTGAAAAATTGTTTTGTGTGCGTCTTCTAATAGAGTTGTCTTATGACTTGCACACGTAATGTAAAATACAGTATTTTTCTAGTCGTCCTTAGAAGTTGGCTTTTTATAATATACAAATATTTATTTCCTTAAGAGACAGGAACCAGTAGTTTATATAAACATACATCAATTCAATAGCTGTAGAACTTAATTATTCAATCCTGAACAATATAGTTAGTCTCTGTTAGAACTTAATTATTCAATCCTGAACAATATAGTTAGTCTCTGTTAGAACTTAATTATTCAATCCTGAACAATATAGTTAGCCTCTGTTAGAACTTAATTATTCAATCCTGAACAATATAGTTAGCCTCTGTTAGAACTTAATTATTCAATCCTGAACAATATAGTTAGTCTCTGTTAGAACTTAATTATTCAATCCTGAACAATATAGTTAGTCTCTGTTAGAACTTAATTATTCAATCCTGAACAATATAGTTAGTCTCTGTTAGAACTTAATTATTCAATCCTGAACAATATAGTTAGTCTCTGTTAGAACTTAATTATTCAATCCTGAACAATATAGTTAGCCTCTGTTAGAACTTAATTATTCAATCCTGAACAATATAGTTAGCCTCTGTTAGAACTTAATTATTCAATCCTGAACAATATAGTTAGCCTCTATATGGAATTTTTTAAATACTTTCAAAAACTCTACTTTCCAAGTTCGTATGATCATGAGTCATGCAGTTTATACAAACGATTATCCTAATCTTTACCCGAATTTGCATGAAAGATGATCTGATCATGAAGACTGACTGAAAAAAATTTGATTTTCAAGCACCACTGCTGCGTAAATGTTTTAAAACATTGCATATGTTTTTCTAAAAACAAGTTTTATATAAAAATTCACAGTTCTGTGTGGAGTTATTTTGACTATTAATCTGCGTTTTTTTTCTACAACATTAAAATGACTGTTGAAATCAATTCATTTATAACACAAACTCATATCGAGGTATTTTAATTTTAGAGCTAGCTCTAAGTCGGAGATCATTCAGTGTTAAGTCAAAGTTTCTTTAAACTGGTATAATCGTATTTCATTTTAAATATTACTCATTTAAAATTTATAGCAGAAAACAGTCCTTCCAATCACTGTTATATT